CCGACTAAAAGTAAAAAATATTTTGAAGCTAGGAAGTTAATAACATATTGGTCTGAGGTTAATGGATTTTATAAAAGTTATGCCTGAAATTGGTATTGCTATCTGCTTCTCTTGCAATCAATTAGTATATACCGGAAAACGAACCAAAAATATAGGTAATTATAATCATATAGGAATGGAGAGGCATTGGGCCATCCATTGTACTGGAAATTCCTTCTGTGGAGTAAATTATACCGAGTACTTACTAAAAATCAAGCAAAAATGTATTTCAAGATATGATTTTGATAATGAATATGCATTACATAGATATGAGTTGTGGATGCAGAATGCTATCAAAAAGGTTAAACGTGCCAGAGAAATTGGTAAGAAAATTTGAGCATGTACAATAATACAACATAAATTCATTGAATATATATATAAACCCGATGATCTCTATACTTCAGAATTAGCATTATATTATCTACTATTATGGGCAGTTCGAGAAGAAATGTGACAAGTTAACAACATATAGCTTAATTTATTTTAATATGTAAAGCTGGTAACATTTTTTATGGCATAGCCATGAGTATTATTGTGAAACAATGGCACTTACATGCTGACTCTACTTTGATTTTTATATACAGTCATTTTACCCAGCACAAAAAACTTCCTTGGTACAAATAAACTATTGCGGAGCAGGCCATTAGGCAATTCTTCGAATTATGATTCAAAGGATCTACAGAATTTATTTATTTTTTCAACATCTACTTCAACCTCAATCAGTCTGGATACTAATAGCTATTTTATTTGAGAATAGTAGCGAATAAGATATTGAAACCATTCATCCCAATTTTAATCATGGCTGGATACGGACAGCTTCTTAATAGAAGTGACGAGTAGGATGTATATATATTAATGTGTTAATAAATAATGAGAAAAAATAAATGCCTGTTTATCCAATAGATATACCTCATTTTATTCATCTAATTTCAGAGAAGTTTCCCAACCAAGTCTAACTGCTAGAGAATTGTTTACTGCCTTGATAAAATCAAAAACTACAAATTTTCAATTCCACAAAAGTTTATCAATTATCTTGGATACTTTTTTTGAATTATCTGTATATTGTCATATAATTCTATGAATGTCGTCTCTAGATCCACTTCCTCGAAATAGACATAAATGTAAAATATTTTTATGAATAATTTTAGGTGTTTGTATATATTCTGTGATACATATATTGGCAAGATATTTTGATGCCAATCACTAATGAAGTAAGGAATAATTTGTTCTTGTACTTTTTTTGATTTGGTGCATAGATCCTCAAATACAACAACAGTACTTTGCTCTGGAGAGAATTTAGTTATATCTGGAATTTTATCTAAAGATATTTTTTTGAATGTGATATTTTTTCAATATGGTTTAGAGGCATTTATAAAGATCTGAAAACTATTTTGTATAAGTTACCATTTTGGCTCAAAATGTTTGCCAATTAATACAAGGTCATCGTTTTTGATATAACAATTTTTTTTCTTATCTTTAAACATTCGTTGTAATTTATTACCTAGCATAAGATTAATTATTATATTGGTTTTTCTGCTATTGGACCCTTTACATACCAGCAATCTGAATGAACTCTCTAATGAATATTTATTACCTTTTATTTGTTCTGAGGAATTGTTATATGTCTCATTAATATTGTATACAAATATGGGCATATTTTATCTTTCATTCTAACCAAGATAAGCAATATTTATTTTTTATACAATAAATAACTTTTTTCTTGTAATTTGCTTTTTATATAGGGAAATAAATCACAATCGAATGGAATACAAATAAAATCTATATCTCACTCTTTGCATATATCTTGCTTTTTTTGATTATGTTTCCTCTGTGAATCTAAATCTATTTCTCCTTGTTTATGAAACATTGAATTTCAAGAATAATATTGAATCTCATTAAATTCTCATGCCAATTTTAATTCTTCATTATACCCATATAGTTGCATCCCTTTCAAAAATGATAGTTTACATAATAGAAATTTTTTACCAAACAGATCTTCAAAAATATATCTACAGTAATACTCATTGGTATAATGGAAACAAAGTAAGCACTATTCAAATTTCGTAGCTATTAATGGATATGGATATTCCTACTAATTTTTTCCATTTTCACAAGACCATAGATATACATCAAAATCATTTATTTGGCCAGTTTTACCAAGATATTTTCCACCACACTTTTTAGTATATTCATCAACTTTAGCTATTTTATTAATAATATGAATAAAATTAATAGATCTGGAACAAATATTTTCTTTCAATATACTTTAAAACAAGTATTGAAGTTTTTCTAGATCTATGTGCATCAGTTCTTCATATACAAATCCATGCTTTGGAGGATATTCATCATTATTGCTTTTGAGATAATATAAAATTGGTTTATTTTTTATTATAACAATTTTGCAGATTTTATGAAGACTTGATGAAAATATTGGATCTGTAGCTCTTTTTTAATTTTCTATACTATCTTCCCACTCTCTATTAGCTAACAAATAACAGACTGTATTACCTTTCTTCAATCTATTCTCCTCATATTTTCCAACCAGACTCTTATAATTTGTAGATAGTTTAGATTCTACCCATTCTAGTTTGATAGCTTTTGCTAGAGCCAATTCCTATTTTGATAAGCCTGGAGCTCAAATGAGACATATCGAATAATTGTTTAGATAATTAATAATCTCTGACAAATACTTAACCCACTCTCTTATTAATTTAGGATTTAAAGTTAGACTTTCAATGGCATATTAGACTTTATATAATATTTTCGCTAGAGTTTTATTAAATCATTCCACAATGGCCATGTCATAATAATTGTATGTATCAATGACTCATATTATTATATTATGCTCTTACATAAGCTTGAAAGTTTCACTATAAATTCTCTACCACCACTATATTGTAATAAATCAGATTAAGTAAGAGAGATATTTGGGTTGTCATAAATTTTCTTAAACACCTTAGCTACCTTTAAACTGTTTTTTGAAGTTAAAAAAACGGTGTATTTAAAACAAGATGCAATGTCTATAATAGTAAGTGCCTATTTATATGTATTTTTATTAATGGTATCATTTGTAAAACATAACAAATCACATATATATATACAATTTGAACATGAAATTTTTTCATAACTTACTCGTAAAGTGTTTTTTGATGACAGAGCATACTTTTGTTATTTATTCTAATTATGCAACTATTCACAAACTTTTTTATACAGGAAATTATATTCTTTATCTTTGATAACATTATATAGCTTTCGAGCATTAGAATAATAACCAGTAGGTTGGTAAAAAAGCAATTTACAAATTAAGTTTAATTCCTCATTTGGATCAATTCTAATAATAGATATATTCAATTTATGCAAAGCATGGTTTAAGGACCTACTTATTTTCGATATATTTTGCTATAGCAATAAACTTTGTTTTAGTAAAGTCAAGAGTAAGGATCCTAATGATTCTCTTCAATTCTGTATTTGATTCTTAAATTTATATTAAATTTAATAGGTGGACTATACTTCATCATTATTTTTAATAGGGTTTTGAATCTCATGCAATTCTGTTCGATTCTATTCAATTCCAATTTTTGGAACCATAGTCAAGAGATAGATTAATATAATATACAGTAAAAATAGTTATGACATTTCAGAGACCCCAACCCCCAATTGAAATTTTCATATGTCAGCTTTTAATTGGGAGTTGGAGCTAGAGCAAGCAAATCAAATCTTAAGAGACAAACTCTCTAATGAAATTTCAATCAATAGATCAAATAAGAAATATATAAAAAATTTGGAATATAAATATATCCAGTAGAAGAAAGAAATCTAATCTCTCAATAAAAAATTAAAATGGCTTGAAAATACTTCAGAAGAAGAAAAGACAGAGTTGAGATTGGAGATATTATCCCTTAAAAAAAGCTTATATCAAGCCACAAAGAAGGTTTGGGAGATTAAATCCTATAATGCTAATCTAGAATAACAGTTACAAGAATATTATGAGAAAATAGAAAATTTGAAGTATAGATTCAAAGTTATTTCCTTCTGAAGAAGCTCTCCAACTTTATATAATTTAGGAAGGAAAGATATTAATATGGCAAATATTGACCTTTTTATACAAATTAATCAAGGCTTAAATTGTATTAAAAATTATATTTGAGATGCTGATACTTCATTAAATAATCCTATCAATATTATAAATGGCATTAGAGGTTCTTTGAATACTATTCACCTTAATTATCAAAATGTATATCAGGATATAAATAGTGTTATTGCCCAATGAGATAATCAAAATAATTAAATAGTCCAGCTACAACAGGATATCAATTTCTATAGATAACAAAATATCAACTTTCAAAATCAAATCAATTAATTTATTCAAGCCTAATACCTTGCAAAATCAAACCAATTAACTTGTTCAGGAGCAAGATACTTTGCAAAATCATGTCAATCAACTTATATTAGAATGAAATATCTTGTGGAATCATGTCAATCAACTTACTAAATATCTATATAACAGCCAACAAAGATATAATTTGCAAGGATGTTTGTGGTATAATGTTATTTTGGCATTAGAAAAACAATCTAAACTCAGGTATTCTCTCGAAATTATTTATAAGATATCTATTCATTGGCTAAAGTAGAAGCTACAATATTGTCAAACTGATAAAGGATTATTATAATATAATCAAGATTGAATCTTTGATAAATATTACAATAAATTCAAGGATCAAAAAATGAGTCATATCAAGTGGAAAATAGAAAGTGCAATTCACAACAATTAATTTTAAATTTACAAGTCCAAATTTTATTATTACAGAATAATATACTGCAGAATCATAATAACAATCAAACAGGTATAATGGATTACGAATTAAAAAAATTCAATAAATATACTACTAAAAATTCCAAAGAATATATTGAAGAATTTAGATTGTGACTTGCAGGTTCTAAAATAGATGTAGGTACTAGCCATGCTAATAGAATTAATGCTTCTAGTGTTTTTAGAGTGTCTCTCAAAGAAGATACTAAAGATTGATATAAAAGAACCATCCATAGAAAAAATTAGAAGTTGAGAAATTTACTTGACAATATAATACAAGCAAATTTAGTCAGTGTTTAAGGAAAAATGCTGGTCAAATTGAAGCACAGGCCTTAAATTGTACAAATGGGTAGAATGATAATGTTATAATTTCAGCTTATACAATATTTGATGAAGATTGGTCTTTTGCTAATGGACGATCAACTGATTGCTTATCCAATGCATCCAATGCTAATACAGGTAATCCTGTAGCTATACCTGGTATTCAACTCGAACAAGTATTATACTGGTTTAAAACCAACTATTCTACAGTTACAGCTAAAAAACAACAGATACTTTTTGGTTCAACTGTTCAAGGAAACAATCCAGTTGGCCATTTCTATTCTAACTTACATAAATTAGCTAGGCTTATGGATATTGATAAACAACAAATTTGATTGCAATTTCTTTGTGAACTTTTTATCCACCAATCAGATAGAAGTTTGTCATTTAGGAATTGAGAAATCACCAGATGAATTGCTTTTGAAACTTGAAGAAATTGAAAGATATACAGCAGAACAATTATTTGAAGCTTACTTGCATTCAAACTCAGATTCAGAAGCCAGTAAAGATCATGGAAAGAATAATTACTCAAACAATACAGATATGACCAAAGAAGAAATTGAAAATCTGATAAAAGATATTATGGCATCTTCATTATCTTAACCCATTTCACAAACTATCTCTTATAAACCTCAGGAGAATCAGATTATACTTTCACAAGACAATTTCAAAAAAATTATAGTGGGTTTGAAAGGAACTATTGCTAAAGGACAGCAAACTTTGAAAAAACCCCCAGACCAGAAAAACAAAAAGCTAATGATCTTGCTATAAACCATTTTTTAAATAATGTTTTTAATGACACAGGTTTACCAGAAAAAGCTTATAACTGTAATTTTATTAAAGATTTAAGAAAGCAATTTGAGGATTTAAATATTAATCAAGCAAAACTAGCTTGAATAATACATGCTGTTTTAAAATCTTCTCAATATAAATGTTCAAAGTGTAGTAAAACAGGTCATAATTCTCACAACTGCTCTAAAAATAAAAAAAAAGGTAAGTCCAAACATTTTAGCAAAAGTAGATCCAAGAAAAAATATAAGATTAATATAGCTACTAAAGATTCAGATTCTGAGTTCAATGTTAGCTCTTCTAATAATGAATCTAATTCTGACTCTGACTTGGATCAAGTTCTGGTTCTAAATTGGAATCTGATTTTGTGAATAACTTAACTGAGACTAAAATCGTAAAAATTATCAATATTGTTAATCAAAAAAAAAGTAAATCAGAATAGTAAATTAGATAAATCATCTAAAAAGTCTAGTTCAAAGAAGAGACAGAGTCTCAAATCTCCGATTCAATGTTTTTCACAAAAAATACAAAAGAAATCAGATACGATTATTGACTCACAAATTCGAAAAATTATTCTAGCTATGTTTAATGATCTAGAGATTATAGAAATGATTAAAAACAATATTAATAATACAAATTTGTCTATCGCAAAACATAACTTTATAAATTATCGAGAACCAATCTCAAAAATATCTGATTCAGATAATGAAGAAAAGACACTGAATGATCCTATAGAGATTGATTTTGTTCATCAAAAAGAACTAGTAATTAATATTGCAACTATACTAGTTAAAATCAAATACTTAAAAATTCTAGCATTGGTATTAGATAGTGATGCTGAACCTGCAATTATATTAAAAGATATTGTTAAACATATAGGTGGGAAAATAGATAGGTCAGAAAAATATGATCTCAGTGGCATTGCTACTGTTTCAATAGAATCGATTGGCATCACTTGTAATTTATCAATAACATTTTCTCCAGGTTTTACTATATGTAAAGATTTTATAGTTGTTTAAGTTTCCAAATAGACATTAATATCTTCAAACCCACTTCTCAAAAAATATAAATGCATTGTAGATTGGAGTAATGATAAAATGAAGATTCATTATAACAGAAAAAATTTTGTTATTCTGGTTACAATGCACAAAGTCAAGAACAAGTTTGAAGTAAACTGTGCTATTACATCTCAGATTGATAGGTCTTTAGTATCTAATTAACTTTTTCAAGAAGCAGATAGTAATGAAAATAATAATGTATCATTCAAAAAATGGCATACTCCTGTGGATTTTAGTTTAGATTCTAATGATTTATTATTAAAAAAATGCTTGAGCTATGAAGAGTTAGAAAAATTAGTATATGAAGTACTTGAATCCAATACTGAATTAATTGAGCTTAATAAAAAACTACAGGCTTATATAAATAAGTCTAATATAGAAATGGTATGTAGGCTCAAAGAGCCATGACCCTTTAAAGAAGACAGAGTCTTGAATCTTCAATCTATTGCCCCTATTATGGAGTAAGTCCATAGGGTGACTCTTCAAGTCATATCATTTTATGTCTTGAACCTGCTCTGCAATAGATTGCAAACTACTCTAGAAAAAACAAAAATAAATTAATTGCAATCTAAGGCTCTTTTTGTCAAATGTTTAGTTTCTTCTCTTTCTTTGTGACTTTGTGCAAGCCTAACTTGTAAGTCATCCATGTCATTTACTTTTTTATCAAAATATCAGTTATACCAACCATATCGACTGAAAAACTAATCTCTGGCCTAATAATATTAATTGAATTAGATACTCAAACAGATCTAGAACTGGATTTTGTTTTTTTTTTTTTGACTTGCTATCTGAAATACTATTTTTAGGTAATATTTCGGAAGAAAAATACTATGTATTAGTTGCTGTTAATCCTTTAACATGTCTTTTCCAAATTTCATATATTTTACAAATTAAAGTACTATATTTATAAGCCATTTCCCTACATATATTTTTAATGGTCCCTCGAGATTAAATAAATTCCTCAATAGTTTCTGGTGATAAATAAGGAGTACTAGCATAATAATATTTTACAATGGCCATGTCTTATACAATTTAAGCTTAGATAATAAGAAATTATTTAGAGAATCGGCTATAATGTTCCTTGCTATTGCAAACCCATTGGCCAGATACTTTTGATAATTTTTTGAATTCAAATTTAATCAAACTCATCAAGCTTGAAATTAATCTTAAATATGTTTCATCCCTTTTATAATTATAAAAAATCATCAAAAATTATTGAAAATGCTAAAATACACCTATATCTAGGGTTCTGAAAAAGTACCGAACTGGTATCGAACTGGTATCGAAATGGTACTGATCTATAATAAATTTAATATATGGGTTGTGACCTACTCATATGTTTTTATAGTAAATTTAAGTATCGAAATGGTATCGAAATATTATCGAAGTGGTATCGTTAGGAGCCCTACCTATATCTCTTATATTAAAAATGATTGGTAATTATAGGTAATTACATACTTAATATTTAATAATTTTTTAAAAAAATCAGTAATTAACTATTATTGTTAAATTTTATTTAAATGTAATTTCTTTATAGTATTATCGATAAGTATATATGTATTTCATATTTTGTTATTTTTCATAACATTTCTCTTTATTTAATATGACCAATATAATAGATCTTAAAAAAGAACTATATAACACCTTCCAAATTTCTTCTGAAATAGTTTTATACAATGCTAAATTGTGGAATAATTATAAAAAACAAAAAAAAAAAATTAATAAAAAGAGAGAACAATAAAATCGGGATAGAAAGAAGTGGAGTAAAAAACTAGAAGGGATTAATATTGAGATCCAGAAATTACATACTCATGATCTCAAATTTATTGATAAAACTAGGTATTTACAGATTGAAAATGTTAATAAAAATATTTCTCTTGCAAAGTTCAAAGCTGAGAATGATATAAAATCCAAGAAAATTAGATTGTTTAAGTCTATAATTAAGATATTGGAAGATAAGTTGTCTTCAGCTCAAGAAGATGTGATTTCAATTCAAAATGACTCATCAAAAAAGAAACTAAGATTATGTCTCTCAAATATAAAATAGCTGAATTAGAACAAGAGTTAGCTTCAATAGTTAGTAAGCTTGAAAATCTGAAATTGGAGGCTATATTAAAATCTGTAATTGGTGGGAATGACGAAAAAAATATAACCAAGTCTAATAATATATTTGCAGTTAATAAACCTAGCAAAAATCTTAGACAGTATTTTATATTTGAAAAAAGTATGAACCAAGCTGGAAAAATCAATAATAATATCTTGACACAAACTGTTATCTTCAATAACTGCTCTGCTAATGATGAAAATACTGAACTATCAAGAATCAATACTGAGATTAGCCCTAAGATAAATGAGGAAACTAAAATTAGTGAAATTAACAAGGATGATATACTAGATATATCAATAAAACCCAATATATTAGAAGTCATATCTCAAAATGTGACTCTGCACCTTATATAACCAGATAATAATATGTCCACTTTAATTGAATCAAATTCTCAGATAGGACCTGGTCCCAAGGCTTTATCTCTTTCAATAGAAATGATTCCTATTGTGACAAGTACTTTGATGTTATTACTATCTGCATATGTATTATTTACTCTGTTAATTATTGCTGTTATATAGTTTGTTGTATTAAGATGCATGTGAAATATAGATAAAAAAAATAATCAGCTATGGAATACGTGGGTTAGATAGCAGGCTGTCTATTTGAACTTCGATATTATTTATATACAAAAAAATATTACTCTTTTAATCATATCTATAGTTATAATATGATATATATGGGATGTCTAGATTCAAAGAGTCATTGCTCTGCAATAGAAAAAGAGGTACATAGTGTTTTGCTTCACAAATATATTTCAAAATTATTTATATCAATAATATGACTTGCATTTTTCTAATTCTTACAGTTTATTAAAAGTTTCTCTTATTCATTAAGCAGAGAATCAAATTTTGTCCTGGGTTCTGTAATACAGTATATCTCGAATCGATGGTTTAATTATAAACATCCCTGGATCAGTCTTAGGTTCGAAACAACTATCAAGATCTTTTATAATTTTTTTTATTTTGCATCTCAAGTTCCAATATCTATCTTTAAGCTTTTTTTGTCTTATAAAGAACTTGCATCTCACTTTTTTTTCCCATATATAATTAATATGAAGATATTTTTGAGATCTTTTAGTACCAGATTTTTAATAATATATGTTATTAACTCTGGTTGTTCAAAAGGATTATAGGTATTGTTATGATGAAACACAGTAAATCTTCACTTTTGTTTTTTCTATGTTGTGTTATGATAAGGAATGACTCCTTATTAAAAGAGACATATATATTTGACTCGAGTTTGATAATGACACAGGTTGATCCATCAATCTTGTGTCACAAATAGTAACCTCCTGCATGATCACTTTTTGATTAGTGATCTTCTCCAGGTGAATAGCTTTTTGGATGTATGGTTCTTCTCCTTTTTTCTATATCATTATCTTACTTTTATATTTTTTATGTCTTATGATTTATACAACTTTATACTTGTTATTTACTTTATATTTGTTATTACTTGTTATCAAATAGATAACTCAAAATACTAGAATATATTAGAAATACTGGATACTTTAATATGTCTATTATATATTTTTTATATTTTTTTCTTATTTATATTCATTTATTTATATAATTTATTTTCATCTTAACAGTATAATACATTTGTTTAATTTATATTTCGTATTCTTTGATTTATTTTAAAAAAATGTTCTT